AAAAGAGAAAATCAAGAGTAGGAGCTGCTTGGAGGAGTTAATATGTCTCGGTTTGTGACGTAGTGAACAGACATCACCACTGTTATCCTCCCTTGTTATAAGCCTTTAATGTTCTGAATGATTCCTTGTTACATCTTACTTAGTATCGATCTTACAGGCATCCCTACCTATCCTTTACCCAGCGTGGTCACTGAACAGTAGAAAGGTTCAATAGGACGATCAGCTCCTCATCCACTTTTTCTCGAAAGCAATTTGTATTATGGATTTATTTTAATAGTGTACAGTGGCAGTTGCTGTTTTTACTATTAAAAAACAGTTTGATTATCTGACCCTGCTTACTTTATCTTTTTAGGTTCTGTGCACAGCCTTTAAAACGAATCAATAGACAGGAATTCCTGCACAGCATTATGTTGAAATCAATCTTAATTCAGGCTTATTTATACTTTCCTTGCATGGTTCAATCTCTTTTCTCTACTAATTGTTTCTGCATTTTTTAATAAAGCATTTCTAGTTACAGAATAATGCATGCCTTTTTTTTTTTTTTGCTACTTCAATCATTTTGAAATTTCTCCATGTAATGGCAAAATTAACTTAAATCCTCCTTGCAAAGTTGTTCTCGATTTGTATTCCAGGGGAGTACAAACTGGTAGTGCGTAATGACCTTTTTTGTTCAATCACTATATAGCGCAATAAATATTCATCACTCCTGCTCCAAGTCTTCCTATTATTACTGCTCCTTGAGCCTCCGAATGCACAGTGTTAAAAATAGGATATAGGTTAACTGCCAAAGCAAAAAGAAAGCACTAAGGCTAAACAAAATGTTTGTAAATAAAATATATACAAATAATACAAAATAATTAATATCTAACTAATATCAATAGTGGTCTATGAATAAAGGCAATGATAAGCTCAGGCAAACCATTTTTTTCACATGCTAAGGACAATTGTGCTGTTTGGACCTTCATCACATTGTGCTGAGGTAGAAGATATACTGTGAATGCTTTCATACAGCATAATGATCCTAGAGTGTACTGAAAAGGTATACAACAAAATGCCTTTTGCATGTGTCCTGGAAAACCATCAAATAAAACATGAACATGTGGTCTAGGAGAAAATCATGGCTACACCGAAAAAAATGGGTCATGAAACGATGGTATGTTATTGCTAAAGCTGCTTTAAATAGACTAAGTTGGTTACTATGGGCAACTCCACAATTTCATTTTTATTAGATCTTTAAAAATAAATCACTATATGCTCACGATTGATGCAAAAACCATTAGACACCTAGGGCTCAATTTATAAAGCAGTGATATGGCTTCATCATAGCATCAAACACAGAAGTGTACTTTACAAAAAGTGCATTTTGCCCAGATTCAGATTTCTGAAGCAAGCAGCACACCATTCACAACAATGAATAGAAAAATATGAATGTGTAGGAGAGCTAGCTCACATGACCTGTCAGAATCATGTGACTGGCCTCTCCTCCTATCATGAGGTTCTATTCACAGTGTTAAGCAGAGGGAACTTCATAGGACATCTCTGGCTCCACACCACAGTCTGAAAGGCTAATAAAATACAGGTTGTGGTATCCTGCGGACAGCTGTATCTGCTATAAATAAGCTTGTAAGATAAAACACTACAGCTAGCCATACACAAATTTATACATTTATTCAATATAATTATCATTTATATTCAGATTATATTTTCTAGAAACCAAATGCACTAAGCAATCTATAGATCTACAAACATCAACTTTCTTTAGAAAAATTTAAATAGAAAAATGATCCATTCTGAAAAAAATCCAGTTGAATTCAATCAGACAGATTTTTCTTTGTTGTGTCAAGCAATTGTTTTTGAGAAATAAATTGTATGCAATCAATAAACATATGATTAATTCATCATTACGTGGATGGCATGCAATAGGAGCTCCTTCTTATCTTGTGACATGCTTGAAAAGGTCCTGATAAGGGCACTACAGATGGACAGAAAAAGGCAAGCAGCAACCAGAAGCAAGCATACATTTAAAAAATCTGTAGAGATCATTTTAGTGTGTTCTGTAGAACCACTGAAGGCTAACGCACCACAAATCAATGTAAAATGCCTGTGAGAAAAGACCCTAAAAGAGTGTCTTCTAGTCGTCACTCACTAAATCAACCTGCAGCACTTCAAGTATGCCATCTCTAAACCTACACTGAAAGCATTCTCAAGTATCGGATCGAGATATAAATATAGCCTTTATAGAACATACAAATGCAGTCGTGTGTGAGTGTAAAAGCACATGGACTGTGTTATTCTACATTTAAAGTGACTCTATTGCTCAAAAGAGTCAAAAAATATAAAGGAAAAGGCTTTATACTCTATAGCTGTTCTGCTGTCCATTTCTTTGAACTTCACTCAGGAGCTGCAACATATGGCAGAATCTTTAAATCCAACACTTGGGTTTGCAAGATTGCTGCATCCTCTGCGGGGCACTGTGGTTCCATCACTACATCAATGTGTGTCCTGCAGCAGGGGCTGGCGGTAAGAACCACAGGGCATTGCTGAGGACCAGTCATCTTACACACTCTCTTGCTGTGCAAGAGAGTGAGGATGGAAGAAACAATAGGTGGGACAAGTAAGTATAAACCATCTTCTTTTGCAGGTGTGGCTTTTCTTAACTGTAAACAGAACCTGCCAGTTTTAAACTGCTTTTTTGGCAGGCAGCTTGATGCAATTCAGGACATTTTGTATTATAACATTTAGGTATCATCCTACCACACAAAATGTGGCCTGATGTGGTAAAAGAATATCTTATCTATGGCCCATTTTAGTGTTTCCTATCCCCATGGCATTTATAATGTATCTAATGAAATTAAGAAAGAAGAACAGAAAATGTAAAACCCCACTTAATCAAATGATATATTTATAGTGACAACAGTGGACCATTCCTGCAAAATGCGTGTTGAAACAGCCAGCTGTAGTCTCCATTGTAAGCCTATGTGACAGTGTGACAATGAAGAAGCTTAATTAGGAGACAAGAAGGGTGTTGTCACCCTATAAAAGGAAGTGCCTGAACAAGGATCTTTGGGGCAGTACTATTGGGAGTTTATTTTAGTAAAAGCTGATGATTTACAAATGTTAAAAATACTTTCAGAACTACATTAACACGTAAATGCTTACAGGACATTTTATTGATTGGCTTTGCATATACTTTAACATTTTAAGCTTGTTCACAGGAGGAAGGGACATATTAAGCAAGGTGATGATCCTGTCTAGATTAAAAGATTGGCTGAACAAAATTGAAGTAAGTAAATCAGCCCACAAGTATGCATTCCATACGTGAATTTGGCTGTTCCCCTCCAATGGTATAAAGGAGGGCAAAAAAAGAGAAACTGAATGGTAAGTATGAGGACTGAAGCAGGGACTAGTGACTTTGCTAGGTAATAGTGACTTTGCTAGGTAGAAAGAGGAAGTTAGAAGGAAGACTGAAGTAGAACAGAGGAATAAAAAAGGATGTACTAGAAGCCACTCTTAGCCAAGCATCAGACTTATTATATTTGTGAAGAGGTAGTTCTGAATACAGCCATTTTTAATAAATAACGTAAATAAGTAATATTATAGTGTGTGTCTAGTTGATTAATAAGAAAGTTAAAAGGCACTGACATTGCCCTCCAAGAAAATCAGTAGTTCCCTGCATAGGAAGCGGTATTATACTTACCTCTTTGATGGCCTGTGTCTACTACATTTACTCTGTTGTGGCAGTCTCTGTCCAGCTTTTCAGCCTTCATCAATTCTGAGAGTGTCAGATGCCTGTTTCCCATGTTACATGCTGTGGTTCCATCCCCGGGTTCCTATATCACTACAGGACACATAACTACAGTAGATGTCAGTGAATGGAGCTACAGCATGCATGGGGGACACATGCATCTGACACTCCTAGAAGTGTTATATATATGTAATGGCAACCACACCAATCAATCTCTAACTAGACTTTTAAAGTAAGGTGCACATGGAAGGGATTTGCACAATACAAACAAACATACATAAATTATCAGCGTGCTTACCAGCTAGCCTTCAAAAAAGAAAAAAAAATACACTGTTTAACAATTTTTGTTAAAAACAGGTTTTACAGGGTTATTCACAACCCATTATTGTTTAGGTAAGTATAATATATCTTCCAATGCAGGCAACTGCTTTTAAAATTTTTTTGGTGCAACGCCAGTTCTGCTTGAATGCATTTTTTAATAAGTGGTAACTTTTCAAGGATCAGTCTACTGCAAATTTTGGCTTTTGCCAGATGTTAAAGAATATAACCTGTTAACAATTTCTTACATCTTGCATTATTTAAAAAAATAGAGCACCCATCACTCCAAGGTAAGTGGGAACAGAACCAGTAACAATGGCAGGAGAATCTGGCAACCCAAGTTATAAAAGATATAGGAAGCCAGGGGATGATTAATTCAACCATTGAAAATTAAGCTATCACTTCTGGGTGACTCTTCAATAAATATAAACAGTATTGTATGTATCAATATATTCCAGAAGCAGAATTAAAACATAGTGTTATTTCATGTAGAAAATACAATGCCATATATCCATGGCCTATAGTTTATAGGCAGTCATTTCACAGGCCAAACCAAGATCAATTTCACTAGGAGCTAGTGACACTGTTAAGGAATGATACAATGCATCTGTGGTCACTGCGAACAGATGGGCTGCAGCCTAAACAATACTGGTTCAGCCTATAAAATATCCGCTTTCAGTACAGCAATTTTTAAGGTTGAACCACTATTCAGTCTATAATCTAGTAGCCCCTAGTGACGTCACAACAGAATGAGGTAATATATCTGATAAATGGATAGGTCACAATTTCATCAATAGTTTTTCAGCCCACATATATTACCATTTAGTATGCATCGGTCACATAAGTCTGTTTATTGTGGTAAAATGAGGGCTGGACATACCAAAAACAAGTCATCGCTGATATGATCATACACAGATACAAGTTACAAGTTTCATACCTGCTGCTGTAGGTTGTGGGCATTTTCTCGTACAGAAGCCATCTCCATTTCATACATGTGATTGGCTTGCTGAAGTTGTAGTGTCTCTTGAACTGCAAGTTGGTGCTGGTCTTTTAATGTTGTTAAATCAGTTTTCACAATTTCAAGCATTTTCCTAAGTTATAAAAAGAACACAGGAAAAGAATAGCAACTTAAAACCACTTCAATAGACACAATATTGGGTGATGGAGCATTTATAGTCCGATCCACATATAACTCTGATATTTGTACCAAGTTTAGGGTGCTTCAAGTATAATTCCATAGGTTAGTTAAATGGTTTCTCCATCTAAAGGTGTCAATTCACTTAATTTATACTATCTTACACAACACTGGCATGTTCATCCCAATGTACATACTAGCTCTTGTTTTGTTTTATTTTTTATTTCTGAATGGCAAAGGCTGTAAACATCTGGAGAAGATTTCCTAATAATTTCATCACACACCCGCCATACATAATAGACCTTCCCATGGTAAGCCCACAAACAGGTCATGAATATATATTGTCTATACAAGCAATTTTGAGTTGAACATAAGGACTAATGTTTTTTTACTTGCCGGAAGGAAATACAGATTAGTTTATGTACACGATAAATCATCTTTGCAATCTCTTCTTTAAAAAGGAAACTTGTTTGTATAGGACTAGTCTTTTCAGCATTATTAACAGTGTGCATTAAGCAAGTGTGATACTTAATGACACCTAATCTTTAAGCAAGTCAAGGAATTTTATTACAATTATAATATTCACATATTCTGATCACAAAATGATTGTAAATATTACCCAAGTGTACTGCCAAAAAACATCAAAACAGAACTTCTGGCTTTTTTAAGAGGACAAACATTATCATTGTTTGAAGTTTAAAAAACATAAGATGTATATTAAAAAAGCAATAATAAAGAACAGACAAGAAGAACAACTAAATGCTGCCTGTCACTTTTCACAACATTTTATCTGTTCAATCAATAAAAAATAAAATCACACAGTGTAAACTTTTTAATAATTATGGTGGTCTTCGATGCAAGAATTTAGGTTATTTCTATTTTATCCTCATCTTGAAATTTACCATATCAATTGGATTTTACCCATCGGTTTATAGATTTCAACAGCATCTTGTGTGAATAAAGCAGCTCTGGACGAATAAAGTGTCCATAAAAATACTCAGATTATATAAGGCTATCTGAGGCAAATAGAGTTTATTTAATCCTGTTAAACATGAGCTCAAAGTAAAGGCTTACTTATTCTAAAATGTTATACCATGGAAAATATTAAGCTAAAACACATTAACAACCATTAACCATTTTAATTTTGTGATTTAGTCAAAAGTTTTACCTTTAAGTTGTAATATGATTAGTCAGAAATATCATATTTTCATAATGCCTCAGTTCAGAGTTTAAAAGTCTAAATTATTTTGCAAAGGAACCTTGCAAATATAACTATGAAAAGCAAATCAATAAAATGTCTATTCCTATCTATTCACTGGGGACCTCAGCTGCACAGCCGCACAAAAATCGATGCAACAAATTATTACGATTTCCAGCCGTGTATTCACAAATAATATATTTCATAATTAAATTAATATAAAACTGCTCAGAGTACCAACTTTTTTAGACATTTTCAGAACGGTTATTGTTTTAAAACAAGCACTGATATGACAAAACTAAGAAAGGGTTTTACATTTTGTATGCCAATTACTCTACTTACTGCATCAGAAATGAAATTGAATATTGTACACTTAGTTGCATAAATCATGCCTATCAATTATAATAATATAGGTCAAACATAATTACTTTGATACCATTACGTGCTACATTTTTCCTTTAAAAAACAAAAAATTTAAAAATGCAACCAACAATTGTTGATTCTTTTTGCTTAATAATATTATGAATTCATAATATTAATAACAATGTTTAGAGCCCTGGCTCCTGTGAATGGGGCATCATATTTCACACTGCAGGAGGTCAGCTTCAAACACTTCATAGATACTTTAAGGAGCAGTGGCAGAGATTATTTTAAGTGCTTTGTAAAATGCATGACCTAAGTTTTATTCACTAGACCTAAACGGTGTGCTCCAAAACAACCCTCCGCACACATTAAAACTACACAAGTCGTCACTCCTAACTTTCAATTAAATAAAAAAAAATCTAATATCCACGTGCTTCTCAGTCGGATAACCTTCAACTAAGTTTGCTTAGACTTGGTAAGGCAATTTGAAACTTTTGCTACACTTGCATCTTGGTATAAGATTATTTTTCAAGCTAAATATGAAAAGCTTAGAAAAAGGGGATAGCCTGATACAAAAATGATCCCATTAAAGGGGCAAAAGCAGTCAGATTTACAAATATGAGAAATTACCACAATATACTGACATAGGGACAACAACAAAATTCATGTAATGTTTTAATCATGATGAGGCCCAGCTATCTAAATTTGCACAAATCTGCTGTAGATCACTCTCCTGGTTTAAAAATACAACCTAAAAATCTAATAGTAAAACAGCATCATACAGATAGAACTGATATTCAGAAATGTAAAAAGCAAAAGTATGTTATTAATCTTGAAGGTTTTAATGAACTGATTACTAAATGTACCAAGACCCTTCAAACTATAACATTGGCACGTGTCCTACTTTAAATCACTGCAATAAGAGCTAAATAATGCATCTTTATTGTTGGCTGTAAGAGCACACAGAGTGAACAGGGGCCTCTATCATAATACTGAGCTCTTATCATAGATTCAGTTCAATATGATGGTTATTTTAAGCAGCCTTCCTTAAGTGAAGTAACAGGAAAGAAATGTAATCAGAGCATTCAGCATAATTTGGTACCATCTTGCTTCAAGTCAGCTGCTCTAACAAAGAAGAAGAGACAACAAGAGCCATATGTAACCTTTGTACTCTTCAGTGTTGGAAAATTAAGACTTTTGCCCCCACCGCAGTGCCATAGAAGACTTCTAAAAGGAATGCCAACACCTTGTTTGCTGGAACACGCTAAGAGAAACATGATCCTTTAATGCTGAGCTTAGGAATCTAATATTTACACATGCAACTGCATGAATATGAACATAGAGTAACATGCAATTCTGCAGTGGGCACTGAAAAGAGATGAACTTAATTTAATGTGTGATGCACAAGCATGCTCAGCGAAGCGAGGCTGATAGAAAATAGTGATCTCGCCTACTTTAAAATATTTGGTCACTCACTTGTATTTACTATTTTCTTCCTCCGTAGCTGTGAGTCGTTCTTTAAGGATCTTCAGGTCTGTCTGGTATTTTCTGCTGTTCTGTTCTTGGCGAACGGTCTCAGCTATTTGCTCGCTTAGCTGCTCTTGAGTTGCTTTCAAGCTGGATTCCAGTAGTAGAAGTTTTTCTTCTTGACTGGCAAGTTCTTGTGCTAAAGGATTGCAAGAAAAAAAAATTATTGAAAATAATACCAAGAAAAAGGCATGGTGTTACTCTAAGCTTGCTTTCTGATTTAACTACATCAATAAAATGTATACTTTTGATAACTTTAAGTGTTTGTATCTTATTAATCAAAAAAGTCTGTATTTTCATATGTCCAACGTTGTTTTAACTCTTACTGTGCCGACATTAACCCTTCTTTCACATGTACTTCTCACACAACTAAGCTTAAGTTTGCAGCTGCTACCAATTTTACAAACAGTGCTGTGAATCAGTTTAAAACATATATGACAGATAAAAGAAAGCACATCATGGCTTGCCCTGTTAGTCCATTTATTTAGACCTATTGCTATAGCTGTTTCAAAGCACTGCTAGTGATTTCAAGGTCAACCAATAGATGGCGCTCAGTAACCAGCCCAAGAATAAATAGAGCAGACACTAGCGGGTCTTTTTTTTTTCTGCAAAAAAGCCATTTTAAGACAAAGACATTTCCCTTTGTTCTTTGATGACCGCAGTCCAAAATGATATGTGGAGACAATTTGAATAAAAGGCTTGCTGCCCATCAAATACAAATATTGCCTGTTTCTTCAGCACAGCCTTTATTAAAAAATAAATATATGGTATAACTTTTTACATCTTCAATAGGAAATAAAATAGGAATGCATATGCCTATTTATGAATATTGCATGTGCATGTTATTACTATGTACACGATACATACATGAATACACATTTAAACAACTATCTATCTATGAAAGCTGTGACATATATAAAGATAAATTAGCAATATAGGAATATAATATAACAAAGTGTATAGATCGATCTATCAATCTATCTCATGGGTTTGTTATGATTTTCTAGATCAGTTTTTATAATTTGATCAAAATATATATATACTGCATATTGCTGTCATTATGCTGCAAATTTTTGTTAATTGCAGTTGTTTAAAATTTGTATACTTTAAGAAAGTCTAGGCCAACATGCAGTTGGAATGAGCTAAACACTTTGATATTGATCCGAAAGGCCCCTTTTTTTTTTTCCCTGAACTTGCCCGAAGGCGTGAGACAAGCATCTTAACTCAGTGAATTATCATCATCTGTCTTGCAAAGGTGGATATCATATAGCTGGATATCTGAAACATCTGCCGCTGAACAGAAGCACACTTTATGTATCTTAAAGATTAATCATGTGGCATCATTGATCACATTTTAAAAGGTTAGATATGATATCAATAGAGGAGAGCTACAACAGAATCAATGTCAATGGTGGAAAACTTTTCTCATGTCCTTATAGATTCCTTGTTAATTATATGGGTGAAAAATGTTATTCAGTCACCCCTTAAAAAAATGCATTAAAAAAATTACAAAATGGAAAGCCTGAAAACTACAACAACAAAAGAACAACAACGCTAAGAATATAAGTCTATTTCTGAAAGCTTACAGTGTCCTCATAAAATACCTTCCTCACATACATATTACAAAATTGCATTGGCATACACAATGATGGTGGCAAATGTAGCAAAGTGGAGTGTTTTCACACCAAATTATCAACTCATTTGAACAATTATGCGCTGGGGCTGCCACAACTAATTAATCAGCTCAATTAGCTTCATTTCTGAATCATTAAATTTGTTTATTTGCATGATTAACAAGCAATAATAGTGATGGGTAATGCATTCGAGGACAACACATGCCATTTTTTTTATCACGAGGCAGCATAACTGCACATAAACACACTGTTTTTTAAATGGAGTAATTTTAAAAACAAAGTTGCAAGTCATATTAGGTCGGTTGTTACAAATACCACGCATAAGAATACAAATAAAAAATACAAATATAGAAGGGATGAAGTCAGCTTTTGGCAATCTTTTTTTGAAATAATCAATCCATTAAAATAAGCACACTACCCTCAGAATATTCTTTATTAACTAGCATATGGTTTATGTGGCAGTATGTGCTGTAATGCACTCTGCAGCAGGTCCCACTTGGGAAAAGAAGGGTTAAGTTCCAAGTACATCTGCATCTCTTTGAGCAAATGAGTGGAACGTTTAATAATTTCAACACGTGTTGAAATACGGACGCAATCTAATGAACAACTTCAAGTGAGACTCCTTTCAAAATCTAAGATAAACCCTCCAGGCTGTAAAACAAAATCTCACTAAGGGGGAAAGGGGAGCGGGGAGTGCTGCCATTACCCAATAAAGGAAATGTAATCACACAGTAAATCAGCTTTTTCCCCCTCACTCTAAAGCAATGGTTTTGGCTTTGCAAGTGTCAAGCCTTGAATGTTTTAGATGAGGCAACATTTTGTTCCCTTTACCAGGTGTGTATCAGTTTATGTAGAAAACATCAATCCCTGGAAGGCAATCACTTTCCCTGAATTGCACAGCAGGAAATTGTAGTATTATATATATGCGTGTTTTACATGTATCAATTATATGTGCACGTGAGTACAAAGATAGATAGACAGACTCCCATACACACATATTCACAATTATCTTATATGCATGATATAGGTTTGCATACAAAAGTACTTACATGTACCTATAACATTAACACAATTTTAATTTAAAAGAATGAGCAGTTGACTAAAAAGACAATATTTTAATTAGAGAACATTTCAGCTCTGAAAAAAAAATTGGTATAAGTGGCATAGAAAACACTGAGTTTGCTTGGGCAAGCTTAAAAAATACATTTGCTTTTGACACAAGGTAACCTGGCTCAGCACTGCTAGCTACTATATATAGGTTACGAGAAAAAGGGCCACTGATGCCCTTTAAGAAACAAGACATCCTTTAAACGATGCTGCAACTGAATTTATTCAAAGATCCAGCAGCTCCTGGAATCTATAGCTGCATAACAAAGAAAAAACTCCACACCACATTTTTTAATGAAATATGCACCATTTAAATGGCATCACCATTTAAAAAAAAATTAAATATAAAAAATATAGTTTCCCTTTATATTTGTAAATACAAAGGTTTGTGCAAAGAAAAAAAAAATATTGGACTGCAAAATGTACAGCATTTGTACTTGCTTATTTATGCTCAGCGATCATAACAATATTTAAAAGTTCAAGCTTAAAAGATGTAAAAAGCATAATTACCAGAAGCTGTTAGCTGTAATAAAATTGAGTCAAATGTAAAAGAGATTTACATTAAAAAAAAAGGCTAAACTTGTAATCATGTCCAATTAAAAAATGGACATGGGCAGCAAAAAAAGATGCCTGTATTTAATTAGAACATGTGAAATGTAGTTTTACAGTAAACAATCACACAAAAAAATATTCAAAAATATAACAAGGGAAAAAAGAGCACCTGTACATAAAAATGTGAGATGCTGGAATAGAAGGGTTAAATTGGTTTACGTTTACCCATGCCCTGAATTTGAGCTCTAGTTGATCCCAGGCCAGAGGCACTAGCAGCTGCATGCTTTATTTACAATCCCTTTGGCAGACTTACAACTGCCCCGAGCTATAACATAGTGTACCTAATGTTCAAACTGGCAGGTAATCTCATGTCAAACATACTTCTTTGATTTAAAGTGATCAATAGATTGTTGTAAAGAGGTAATTTCTCTGATGTTTCCACCTTGCTTTTCTTTACAGGTGAATCGCACAAAGGCACACTCATATGATGTGCGAACAATAAATAGGAAAGGTTATAATATGTTTTGTAAAAAAACAGCAAACAGAAAAGGAAGAAAAAAAAAAACAAACCTGAAAAAAGCCATATATACACACAGGCTTCCGGTGAACGGCGATCCCGGATCAATACCTTGTGTAATACAATTATCTGCAATGATCTGGTTGTATTGAAAAAGAATTTGCAGTAGACCTCTAGGGGTTTTATCTAGAATCAAGTATCTGGCTAGGCTGTGAATAGGGAAGTGGAAAATGAAGGTGCTGACATTGTCTGTCTATAACATTCACAATGACTTCATTAATATTTGACTACAGGACGGCAAACCATTTTCTCCTGTATGTTTTTTTTTGTGTTTAACAAAAAAAGGTTTCCCATGCCAGCTATATATGTTTACAGAACACCTGACCAATACACTATTTTCTATTGCTAGAAGTGCTATAAAACATGGCTTCATTCAGTAGGGCATTGCACACTAATATGTGCCAATTGCAGCAACCCTCAGCAAATAGCCTGAAGCAATTATTTCTGACAGGTTGCTATGGGTTTTTGCACTCTCATTAAAAAGCCTTAAAGGGTTATATTTAATAAGAGTAGAAATATATCATAAAGTCACAGCAGTTTATCAGCGTGTCTTTAGACTAGGAAAGGATTGTTTTTATTAGTTGCCATAGGTTACAGCACATCAGTTCTCTTTGCACTGAAGACGTCACCAGTGATAAAATAAACAAAGCAAAGTGCTAATGATGCTGATGGAATTAAACATATCACAGCTTTCGTTATTACTGGAGATTTAAAAAGGAGTCACCTGAGTGGATGCTATGTGCAGCACTGATTCTTTATGGTTACATTTTTGAAGACTGCACTGATATGCGAACCTAAATCAAAAATGTTTTTTATTGTTATTGTGGCAATTATTCTATTTTACGGTGTATAGTTAAAATCGTTTAGTTAAAATCGACAGAGCTAAAAATACTTATTCTTGATGTTTATGAGTCACCTGGATCAGTCATATACGTTTGGAAAAAATTAGGAAATTATCAAGGCTAATCTGCCATTTTACTCTTATTAGGTTACTAAATTAAAAAAATACCACCCCACTCATCAGATGAAACTGGCTTTGCACACCAGGCATCTGGGCCTGTATGGGTGAGTAAAAGGGCTAAGATCCTGCCATCATTTGGCTATGTTACTACTAGATTGAATGCCTTTCAGCAAGCTTGTGTCAAATGGGCAAAGAGGGTTTTAAAAACAATTCATAAGGGTCCTCTGTGTCCTCCAAACCATAAGCCCCGTTCACACTTGCACGATGCGTGAACATGCATTATGTTCATGTGCATTTGTACCACTGTTGC